CTCGTGTTAATTGTGTTAATTTGATTCCAGGTGTGTCTCCTTAGTCCCCTCGATTAGTTCCTCATTATCCTGTGTACTTAGCCCCAGTCTGTGTTGGTCGGTTCTACCAGTGATGTACGTGTGTCTACCTCCTGTTTCCTGTGTTGGATTTACCCTCTGTGTTGGATACTATTAAAGACTCTTTCGATTATCCACGGCTCCGTGTTCCTTCGGGCAGCATAACGTGACACCAACACAGTCAATTTTTCATATTTAGGAATATGTTTTGGTATTGCAAACTAAGAATACCTTAGAAACCACACAGAAACACCCTGGCAACCTCTCACAACACCCTAGCATTGTGGTTGCAAATTTTGCTCAGCCAAGTACTACTTATATTTTCTTCAAAAATATAATATTATAATACAATAAAGCAATGTCACATTAAAATAGAGTTGAAGCGCTCTAAAAAAACAGAGAACCTTTAGAGTTTGAATTTCTGTTTACTCTTGCTAATACACCATCAAGAGCCGCTTTTGGACTGTATTAGAAATTATGAACCTTTTCACACTACTTTTCATAAAATTCACCTCTCTAATCGTCATATCATGACCACACGGCGCCTGAAATTCTTGAACTACCCAAAGAGTTCACACTAACCCAGTATTCACAAGCAACCTTTATCACCGCACACCTGCAACTCATATTACCGTTCCATAGTGACAACACAATGTGCTTGTGAAGCCCAAAACCTCTGGCCAATTCTGTTGAATATTTCAGAGAAAACTCAGACACAAATAGTCTCAGGACAGAAGCAAAGAGGCACATTGATGGTTGTCCAGAGAATACCAGCTAATGAAACACAAGTGAACCGCAACTTTAAAAATCTCCCTCAAATTTCTTGCTTTTCAGACATAATTGCTGGCATTTTTTCAGAACAATTTATGAAACTAAGCTAGAAAGAGTGTATTCTTCCCTAAAAAGGCCTCATATATAAGGCAGTGTATCTCAATAATTTTAACTATTTTATAGGGAAAAAATTAAACTAATCAAATTAAAGTTGATTATGATTTTGTGGTGCAATTGAATATCAAGCAGTGGAAATTCATTAAAGCTCTTATAATAAAAAAATGACTCATGAATTCCCCATGCATAGAGAAGTCTATTTAGAGAGGACTATCTGTGAGACTACACAACAGTCCTATCTTTATCTATCTTGTTTTAGGTACATGAAGTCAAAGAGCATGGGTTTGCATGGGTAACATTCTCACGATAATTTAGTCTACAGTCATATATGTGTACAAAGACCTCTATCAACGTCAAGTCCAAAATAACTTGGGAAATTGTTCTCCTTCTTTGATTATCAAAGCTTTTTTTATGACTCTGTGAGAATTCTCATTTGTAATCAGCTGATTGAAAGGTTGCATTGTAAATGTGTTACACAGAGCAACATGCATTCACTCACTTGATATAAATAGTCCTCAAACACAAAGTAGTAATCGTCATTACTTGCAGTCAGCTTCACATCCTGAGAAGAAAAGGAATCAGGCATTTTAATCGGACACAGGAGCACTAGGGGTACAAAAATGGGACACTCTTCAAATATATATATAATAGCATTGCAAACAAAAACAATTCAATCCTCTTCCCATTTTATCTGTTTATCAGTTAAAGGGGTCATATGACGTTGCTAAAAAATAACTTTATTGTGTGTATTTGGTGTAATGAAATGTGTTTATGTGGTTTAAGGTTCAAAAAACATTATTTTCCACATACTGTACATTATTGTTTCTGAAACATGTTGATTTTTACAAAGCTCATCATTCTGAAAAGCGAGGTGTGCTCTGATTGGCCAGCTATCCAGTGCGTTGTGATTGGTCGAATTCCTCAAGCGTGTGACGGAAATGTTATGCCCCTTACCATACTGTGATGCCGTGTCCCGGTGCGACAAGACAAAACCAATAAAACCCATTATAAACGAGGCATTTGTAGCATCCAGTGGGGACATAATTACGGATTATAATGACTTATACTGTCTTTTTACGCGTTGCGTTGCGCCGCGTAAACATAAAACCATGTCTGCATTTGTGATCGGAGAAACGACAAACAACAAGCGCTACTCTACACTGCTCAATCAATCAAATGAATAGTCTCAAACGAATCGTCAGTGGCAAATCCTTTAAATATGAAAACGTACTTACAGGGTCTGTGAGTCAGAACAGCCGGCATTGTAGTCTACTCAACAGGATCAGTAAACATTCCTCCATAAAATGTGCTGCACACAAAGCCTTCTTTCTTTGCGTATACATTTGGGTGGTGTTATGCAAATCTTCCCACACAGTGACGTAGACATGTGGGGGCATGTTTAAAAGTGGCATTTTAGGAGGGTGTGGAAGAGTCTTAACTTTTATAAAGAATATCTCTTTGGGTTTGAGACTTTAGTCTTTGCAACTTTAGGGATCTTATCTATTATCCAAAGAGAAAGGAAAACTTGAAATCGCATCATATGACCCCTTTAAGTATATAAGGAAAACGTGATCTTAGAAGAGATGGGCCTTTCAGAACTCTTACTCTATTGGTCAAAACCTATTAAGGAAATTTCAATAGAACAAATGGTGCATACAAAACAATTTCCATCAAATAAATTGCACTGTAAATGTACCTTATATATTAGGTTGTCCACCAGCAGGTCATGGTTTATAACTCTAGCCTTCAGCTGTTCATAATGTGTTATGTCCTGTTTAATGACATAAAAACAAAAGAATTGACACTGAGTGAATTCATCTGAGTCAGCTGAATTGAATTAACCAGTACATAATGGAGAAAGAAGCACCTATACGTAGATCAAACTATCCCCAGTCATTACAGCTAAGTTAATTATACTAACCAATTAACAAATTAAACTGCTATTAAGAAGCATATTAATAAGATTGCGGAGTCAAAAATTAAATGTCACAAAAGGCTGTGCTGGAACAAATCACTGCATATTATTAGAACCAGATTTAAATCATCTTTGATTAGATGTTATGCTCTGTTTTTTATTTAAATATATATATTTTTTTAGTAGTAAGATATTTTTTTATAACTAAATGCCCTTTTCATTGATAACCTCACTGTCAGAGAGATAAATTAATGTGACATAAAAAACACATATAGTAAATATAGTTACATTAGTTACTATATTATGAGTTGAATTATTCAAAATAATAGGGTACAACGGGGCTAAAGGCCCACCTTAAGAACAAATGTGCTATTCGCTGCGCCTAAAATGTATAATTGCAGAAAAAATACATACGTTGTATTGAACATTAATGGAGCAACAGATTTTGTGTGAAAATAAATCATTCAAGTTGTTTATTTTGTTTAAAAATCGTATAAATGTATGAGGTGGCAAGGGGGGCCTTTTACCCCACACACGGGGTAAAAGGCCCACCAGCATGGGGTAAAAGGCACATGGTATTGATACAAATACTTCAGCTAAAATAATGTTTTTTAAGTAATGTCCAAGTTAATACTTGTTCAAAACAATCACTTTAGATTTGTAGTCACGTTTGTACTATTTTCTGCTTATTTAAAAAAAGAATTCATTTTTGTTCAATAAATATACTGTCATTAAAATATGTTAATATAAAAATATATTTTAAAATACAGAAACAAAATCATTTTAATAATTAAAGATTCTGAAAGTATTGAAGGAGAACCAATAATAATTTAATATATATTTACAGTAGTAACAACAAATTATATTATATTTTATTATATGATATGATTAATATCATGTTTTTAAATATGATGGTTTCATTCTAAAAATGGGGATTATCTCTAATATGGACACCCAACAAAATATATGATATTTACCATCTGAATCTAACCATGTCATGTCAAGAAATGGAAAAGTCAGCCATCTATTAATTATCATGTTAATTACTGTGCGCCTTTAGCCCCAACAGCAGGGGCGCTTTTTACCCCAAATACCATACTTTTACATATTTTTTCGTTATTTAAAAACTGTTGCTTTAATTATCTTAAACAAAACTGAAAATCATAAAGAAGACCTTTGTCTCAAAAAAATTATTGTAGCTATTCTCATTTGCTACTTAAATCATAAATACATTTTAAGAAACATCAAATATTAGATCAAGTAAGCACAGAATCAACAAGGATCAGACAAATAAACACGTGCATCTTGAAAAGCAGATGTTTTGGAAAGTGCTACTCCATGTTTTTGTGCCATCTAGTGGTTTAGATTAAAATAATATCAAAGGCGCCTTTTACCCCGGGGCGCCTTTAGCCCTGTTGTACCCTACTGTTCATAAAGAGACACTGCAGTCAAAAACATTCAATTTTTCTGCATTTAAGTCATCCCAGGAGGTTCTTATACGTGCAAACTAACTTTATCATAATTAACTTTGCTTATCCCTTCATTTTAAACATATACGCCCTAAGACAGGCTCCAATCATGAGTCTTTCTAAAAGACTGGAGGGACAGGAGAATTTTCCCCATTTTTATGGGAGGATAGGCATGTGAGCTGGTCCCTGTCATCCAGACAGCTGCTTTATCAGCAGTTGCACAATTGTTCCACCTGAAACATTTAAACCTCTTCCCCTCTGTCATTCCACTGGCTCCACATCTACAGCACTAGCTCAAAAAGTAAGGGATTACTCTACTTGCCCCACGCCGGGTGTTTGTCTTCTTATTAACACATAGAGAAAGTGCATTCTCCAGATGCTGTTTCACTGCTTTAATGAAGGCCCAAGGACCCATCAGCCAGCTGGGAGACATTGCTTCACATCTGAAAATGGTAGCTATTAGAGGGCCAAGGAGGAAAAAAAATAAATAAATCGCAGCGGGTACCTGCTCTGTCATTTCTGCCCCACAAGCAGCTCAAAGCTAATTGTATTAAGAAGGATTACGTATTTAAGAGTGTTTTCACACTTGATTGGACTGCTTGGTCTGGATCAGAGTACAATTTCAGATGTCTTTTCACATTTTGAAAGGCATTATGCTATAAAAAGTATGCAAATTATACATCATTAATAGCGGCTGCCAAACCACCTTATAAAGCAAACTCAAACATGGCTTTCTGGCACGCAACAGCAAGAATCACTTTCACACCAACCGAACATCCTTCATCCTGATGTCAAATTGATTTGAGCCTGTACCAAAATCCTACTGTAAAAAATGTTTGCATCTTATATTTCATTTTTATTAACTCTCACAAGAAAAGTGTTATTCTTGTATTACTTTTACTCTGAAACTGTAATTTTCACAGCATATGGAACATTTCAGCCATGAATGTGTATGATAAGTACACATAAATATCCATAAAATGTCGGTTCTGGCACATTCACAACTGCCATAAATGTCAATTAAGATATACAAAGTTTCAGTTGTTTAAATCTACATAAATATTTATGGTACTGTAGTTTTATATATGTTTGAAGATCTGTGCATGACTGTGTGTGTATAAAAGGGAGGGGAAAAAAAGGATATATACACTACTGTTCAAAAGAATGGTGTCGGTAACATTTTTAATGTTTTTGAAAGAAGTCTCTTGTGCTCACCAAGGTTACCTCTGGATAATTACCTCAGGATCATTAGTCGTATTCAGGATGAGAGACCATAGCTGGGCCCTGAGACCGGTGGGGCAGCCCTGTCTGCTGTACTGCTGCGCCGCTGCACTGTCTTGCTCACTCACCACTACAGAAATGCAGATAAACAGGAGTGGGACCCTCACACGTTTTAGTAAACACTTTTGAGAGGCTCTTAGCCATTTAAAGAGAAACTTTCTGGATGTGTCTAAAACCTAAAGCAGTTGCCTTGATGTCAATTCTGTCAGTGACTAAACAGGCAGTGTTCTGTATATGAAGGAGCATCCTAAGGAAACCCGTAATATAATGTCTAATGATCTGGAACACTTTAGAGAAAACCAAGCAAATATTTAGTAACTTACACTACTGTTCATGTTTAGGACTTTTTAATGTTTTTTGAAAGAGATCTCGTGCTCACCAAGGCTGCATTTATTTCATCAAAAATAGATTAAAATATTAATATTGTGAAATATTATTACAATTTAAAATAACTTGTCTATCTTAATATGTTTCAAAATGTATCAGCACATACAGTATCTCACAGAAGTGAGTACACTCCTTAAATATTTTATTATATCTTTTCATGTGACAACACTGAAGAAATGACACTTTGCTACAATATAAAGTAGTGAGTGTACAGTTTGTGCACTTTTGTGGCCAGTGGTTTAGACATTAATGGCTGTGTGTTGAGTTATTTTGAGGGGACAGCAAATTTACACTGTTATACAAGCTGTACACTCACTACTTTACATTGTAGCAAAGTATCATTTCTTCAGTGTTGTCACATGAAAAGATATAATAAAATATTTACAAAAATGTGAGGGGTGTACTCACTTCTGTGAGATACTGTACATACCTGTGATGGCAAAACTGAAGAAAACCATCTTCAGTTTCTTCAGAAATCATTCTAATATGCCAATTTAGTGCTTAGGTTTAAATTCTTATTAATAGCGATGTTGACAACAGTTGTGTTGCTTAATTAATATTTTAATATTATTGTTATTTTCAGGATTTCTTAATCAATAGAAAGCTCAAAAGAACAGCATTTATTTGAAATAGAAATCTTTTGTAATATTACAAAAATGTCTTTACTGTCACTTTTGATAAAGTTTATGCATTCTTCCTTGACGATTCAAAGTATTAATTTCTTTCAGAAAAAAAATAGTGTAAGTGTAACTGCATTTTCCTCATTATAAACACAATCATAATTTCATTCAATTGAAAAACAAAGTGACACCATTCTGTTCTTTTGAAAGTATAGCATCATGGGATATCACAGGCAGTGGAGGAAACATCAATGCTGCCTTCAAAATCGGACCAGACTGTATTTTATTTGAGGGGAAATGGAATGGCAAATATTAAACAAATATTCTCCACAAGACCAGTGATAAAGCAGTATTAAACAAGCATTTGTGTCATGATAACGACAAAAATAGTTTATTTTTACCTTTTTTTCCAATGTGAATGTGCTCACTCTCAAACAAATCTGTGTTGAAACAGCAGAGAGATAGAAAAGAAGTGAGAGTGCAAACAGAGCATACAACACCAATATTTAAAAAATGAGCAGTGAACCTCTTTGGTAGCATTCAATACAATACATAAACACACTACATACAGAGTTTAGAGGGTCAAAACATCACGAGCAGGCGGCATACAGTAGGTGAAGCTTCTGTTGACTTGTGACGTGTCAGTAGGAGAAAAGCCTCCTTTGTTACTTATCAAAACCAGGAGGAACAACCTACAACTATTTGAACTAGTGTGGAAGGACTCTGGGATCTGGCAGTAGTGGAGCTCAACCCATGTAATTCCATTACTCCATGATCATGTTATGGACGAAATGTGTAAATATTTACCTGGAGGAACATGAGTGTGATCATCTATACCAAGTTGTCCATAAGTAAGACCTAGTTCTGGATACATTTCCCTCTGTAACAAATACAAATAATTGGTCAGAAGTATCAAAATATCTGATCCCTACCAATAGATGTGGGTTAAAAGGAATTTTATTTTACATCAGTCATCAGCTGTTTTAAAAAGTGGATGGCAATGTGAGGTTTGATAAATTACACAATGTAACAAAAATTAGTTTCACTTATATTTTTATGGTTCTTCGATTCTGTGGTGCCAATTATTATTGTACTAGATACGTTTGTACTAATTTTGGGGTATTGTTCTTTTGCAAAGATGGAAACATTCTGTAGTTTCTGTAACATTATGTAATATTCTAGTGCTTTCTGGAACATTCCAGAACATTGTGGGACAAGTCATAAAAGACAAAAATCATCCAGCATACACTTTTGATAACTGTTTATGTTAAACTGTTGTTAGCTCAGTATTATGCATGTACCATGTAATTTTTATGCATGAGTAATAACAGATTCGCTTGTACAAGTTGTATTTGTTACATTTGTTGTTGTATTTAAACATATTTGTTTTAGTTTTCATTATCAATGTTAATGCTACACAAAAAGTCATATGATTTTCCTATTCAGCATGTCAAACTTCATAAAAACATTTATTTTTCACAGCAGTGAGCACCAAGATAGTTTCCACAATCACTTTTCTCTAACTCTTGATTACTGTAATTTGTTTAGAGAAATGGTTTCAGATAATTATCAGCTGTCGCAATGCAAATTGTTTGTGTCTTGACATAAAAATAGAACGAAGTGAAATAAAAAGAGGGAGCCTCACCATTTGAGGAATGTCACGGACGTTGAAGGAAACCTGGATTAATCCCCAGTGGCTTCTGACTGTGAGATCTTCACTGCGCTCATTATTTGGGTTTCTTAAACCAACCAACACCTACACAACAAGAAATGTTATGTTCCATCTTACCTAAATAAGAATATATATGTATAGTAAAAAGTAATGGACATGATAAATGCTACAACCTTTGATAACATTTTCTACAAACCCCTCTTATCCCAGCTGAATATGCCAACTATATATAGACAACTATTCATAAGTGTAAACACAGTGGCTCTGTGGTGCCATCAAAACAACCTCTCAGTCAATTCTCACTCGGAGTAATTTAGCCGAACATTTCCTGAGGGAATCCAATCAGCTGCTTCATATCCAGGCCTATCTTTCTCATTTGGACCGGATGTTTTCAATAAACTGATTTGATTATGAAAGCGAGACCCACCTCAAGGAAATCTTTGGGTGCATAGACAGGCCTGAATTTGCTTAGGTCTGCAATAAAAAAAAACACAGATCTGAGTGCTTCCAAACTTGTATATTATAATAGCCTACCAATTAGTGTAATTGAAAACAAGAGAGCAATAGAACATGGTTGAGTGGAGGAAAGTGGAAAAGATGCAAACATGATGATGAAATTCTCTCAATCTTAACCCTTCAATCATGCCAAAGACATTCTGTTGACGTGGTATTTATAATACAGCAGAGATAACAGCTCTAGAAGTAATGGTAGCCTTAACTTACTGTTACCTCTGTATTTTTACTGCGTGTATGATCTCATTTCACAGCCACAGTGATTAATATTGATAAGTAATAGCTGAAAAATGTTGTCAGTTTTTAAAACTCAGGAAAAAAAATAAGTACACAAAAATATAAGTATACTAAAAATATATATATATATATATATAT